GCAAAAACTTTGTCCCAGCGAGCTGGGCGTTCGTGAACAGGATCGCAGACACCACATGATAAATCGCGACACCGACGAGCGACCAGGGAGTTGGAAACAGTAGGTCGTCGTCTTTGCGCCTCACCAGCTCTAGGGCCCGATCAATCTCCGCCAGATGTGCGGAATAGAACATTTCGTCGAAGTACTCTTCAATTATTCTGGTACGCCTTTCCAGCAATGCCATGGTTTCGTTCAGCCCCCGCACGAAGGTGGCCCAGGACCTCTCTTCGCTTCCGATAGTTGTATTTTGACTGGCGAAGTGGAAGTCAGAAGTGCTGCTATTATCATTTGGTTGAAAGCGACGCGCGTGCAAAGCGTCCCAAGCTGTGATCGAATTTGAGTAGTACTTCTCGTCCTCGTACGGCGGGTCATATACGTGCCCAGTGTCGTCACGAGGCGCGGCCCAGGAAACCCAACTGTTACGGGATCGGTCGAGCCTAGAAATTAAATTGTGACGCTCGCCCGAGGTTCCGGAAAGCGGAGAGCGTTTGATCACCTCCGCGTACTTGCGCGCCAGCTCCACTGCCCGGCGCTCGTCGACTACGATGACAAACTTCTCCCCCGCTTCAGTTCTGTTCAGCAGGGCCTCCTGTTCGGCGTCGTAGGAATCAGTGGGCACGCACTTTGGGTGCAGTAGTTCTCGGGGTTCCGCGCCTACTTCGCGAGCTGCCGCAAGCGCAAGAACATCGCCATCCGCTGGAAAAATAGTTGGCGACGTCAACGAGCTTTTCCAGCTGCAATATTCACGACCTCCGGATTGTTCTACCGCAGTGCTGTTACGCGTCGCATTTTCGCGGCTGTTATGATGATGTCCTGTGCTGTCTTCAGCTCCGCTCCGCGTCTCCTCACCGGGACCGGAGGGCGGCCTCCTCTTCATTTGACAAGGACAGTCAGTCTGCCACTGCAAAACCTGCAGACTGATCGCTGAGCTTTTCGGTTTTTGTCGCGCGAGCTCTGCGTTGGCTTGCCGTAGGCGCTCCGCAATCTATGGCGATGGCAGAAACTTTTTGCTCAAAAACTTTTTTTTTTTGGCATGTAAATCACCCATCGTGAGAACTAGATATGTTTTTTGTGGCGAATATGTCACCCATGAAAAAGGCGGATTTATATGTTTGTTGAGCTAGCTAGTCTGAAGGCAGGAACAGGTCGACGCTGGACGTCGGTTGCGTCGCGGATTCGGAACCGAATCCGTGGCCACATGAGCACCGGGGACCACCTTCCTCCTGCCTTCAGACTAGCTAGTTACATAGTATGCCGCCGTAGTGCCTTTATGTAAACAAGACCTGCCGGTAGCAGGTGGCACATACATAGCTTATGGCAAAATCATATGTGGAAAAAAAAAAAGTTTTTGAGCAAAAAGTTTCTGCCATCGCCATACAATCGGATTCGCGCTGATTACGTAGTCGCAGATCTCGTTCTTGCATATGGAAGACGAAAGCGCCGCACCCGATGAATTTCGTTTTTCGCCAAAAAGTACACCACTCAACTCCATCGGAGAAGAATCTCCTGCAATCTGTAGTTCTTCTCCTTCTTCGCTTCGGCTTCCATAATTGGGAGCAGCCGTACTAGAGGGCAGCATTCTCCCGGCTTGTACTCTTCCCGAAGATGTCTGACCTGCTCCGCCTTGCTGCTGCAAACCTGCTACACTTGTTGTCGCCTCGCCATGATTGTCGCCGGAGGTATGATCGACGGAGTGCGGCGACCATGCGCAGCCCACGTCTTGGTCTACGTCTTGGTCCTTCTCTTCCCGATTCGCATTTTCTGGAGCAGCAGAAGGCCCCCAAGTCGTTGAGCCGCCTGTGCCAACCGCGACACGCAGAAAACTTTGCGGAGTGGAGATCGGCAGCAGAGTTGCAAGAACTGCAGGACCACCTTGCTCCTCGTGCCCCGGAGACGTTTCAGCCTCGTCACTGTCTGATGGATGTTCGATTTCTGCAGCTTCCCACGTCGATGAGGAGAACGTGGCCGGTAAAGAACTGCTCGACTTCATCTGCGCGGCTCTTTCCTGCCTTACAGCAGCTTCAGCGAGATACCAACACTTCTGTGTCATCTCCAGTGGAAAAAGTACCAAAGTCGTGCGCTGCAAGAGACATAGAACGCCATAGTGCATGGAGGAGCGCGAGCCGCCCGCCCGTCTAAAAAACGAAATCATCTCTCTGGAACAATGGTCGCCGCACTTCTAGTTGCGACTAAAGCTGCACCGTACCAATTGGGATCCAGACGGACGTGAAGATATTGAAGATGGCATGATAGATTGTCAGTCTTATTTGTGTTTGTTTCTGATGCCCTTGCATAAGAAACGTCCTCGCGGACTACGACCCGCCGGTCGTGTCTATCCTTGGACGTTTGCAGCACCTTCGTGGTCACGACTATGCTAGTAATGCTCCTGCTTCCACAATGGCTATAATCTGAATATGTACGGAAAGACGACCCGAAGCGGATGACCTCGAACAAGCCTGCCTCCGACTCGTATCAGAAAATTTGCGCTCCATGTTCCTCTCTCGAAGAGCCTCGCACACGACGAGTGATCCGAGATCCTGCCACAAACGATCAACCTCGCAGCGATGGCGCGTAACTTACGATCGTTGTACTGTTGTAAAATAATCATAATTGAACAAGAAAACGAGGACTACTACATGCCAGCACGTAATATGACGAAAAATATCACGAAAATATCACGAGGCTCCTGAAGAAATATCACGAAAATCCCCCTGGTCCCTATGCGCCTGATCTTCATACAAGATGCCCGACGAAATTCTAGCTGCTCGAATGAAAGTATCCAGAAGGATACTTCCGATAAACCCCTTCAAACTGCGGCGCATTAACGAGGAACAGCATTCACGACTTCGTTGCGTATCACAGCGCGGATTCGCGGAAAAATTGACGCAGCTGCAACATGCTCCGTTCTTGCGGATTTTTCCAGCTGCACAAGAACTGCTGCCCATTTTCTCAACAAGAGAAGACGACGGATCATGGAACAGTGTTGCTTGTGCGGCCGCTGCGGCTGATGAGTGAGGGTGACAACTACGACTAGAGCTAGTTGGTGGAAAAATCAATGGCGTGTCGAGTGTACCAGTCTGCGAGCAAATCGGCAGGAATCCACTCCTTTGCGCCGCGATTTGTAAAGAGGCTGAGCTTATCAAATGTAAAAGTGTCTGGGTCTGGAAGGATGTAACCTGTGATGCACATTTCAGAACACACAAAAAACTCTCATGCATAGGTAGCAAAAGCTGCCCATTTTCTGTCATTAAAGTGGGGGACTTGTCATGCGGGTTCGGCATTGCGGAAGCTTCTCGAAACCTGTGATGCTAGAGCTTCCATGCCAGACCTTCTGTGTCATGCAGAAACAGCATGACTCTTCCAGACCCAGACATTTTTGCATTTGATAGAGCTCTTTGTCGGCCTCGGCAACCGTCATCACGACCAGCTTCAACGGCTCGGGTCGTTCCTCTGGCACCTCTTCTAGGTGGTCTCTGAACATTTCTGTTTCAACTTGCGGTGTCGAGTTTCGAAAATTATCCGCAGTGGTGTTCTTCTTATTACCTGCACGGCTGGGTAGCTTCCTGCTGTTGGCGACCAGGCGAACCGCCGCCCGGACGGCGTCTCTCACCTGCGCTACGTCCCCCTCGTCGACGGCCAGTATGCCGCGAATGTTCAATCGGTCGCTCCACTTTTCACAACGCATTAGCATGTGCATCTGGGTGTGGAAAAGCCGGCGCCACCAGCCCCTCAGGCCCGCGCCGAGCAATTCAAACCGCTCGCGGAAACTATTGCGCTGCGTCTCCGAACGGCTCGTCACGTCGACCACATCGGCCACAACCAAAACCGGCAGACGCCCCGGGCCGAGAGCGTGCTCGAAGTTCGCGACGGCGGTCGCATTCGCCTCGCGTTGGCTCCAACCGAACCAGCCCTTCCACCCGTGTGGAAGCCGGCCCGCGTTTTTGAGGGAGTACTCCTTCGCGGCGTCCCACATGCGCCCACTCTCTCCCTCGCCCGTGCACTCGTTCATTCGAAAAGAAAGGGGCGCCGCTGCGACAACGGTCGGGCGCACGTCTGTAGTCAGGTTGAACCATTGTTTTTGGGCGTCTGCCATCTGCACCCGCTCACCACCAAAGAAGTCGATGCCGTTTTATGCAAATAAAAATGAACTAGTGTTACTGCAGTTCTTACACACTGTGAGGCAGCAAGACACACAACCTCTGTCATGCCCGAAGTGCTTGATGCGCATCTCTTTCCATGCTGGCCAGGGGCGATTTCACTTATGACCTCCGCATTGGTTGGTAATTGCAAGTTTGCTTTGGCACAGCGCAAATTTGTGTTGCCAAGTGTGACTGCAGCACTACTCTTTGTTCGCTTTCTCTTTGATACCTTGCGCTGCAAAAACATTGTCCCAGCGAGCTGGGCGTTCGTGAACAGGATCGCAGACACCACATGATAAATCGCGACACCGACGAGCGACCAGGGAGTTGGAAACAGTAGGTCGTCGTCTGTGCGCCTCACCAGCTCTAGGGCCCGATC